GATGAGTGGAATGTTCCACGACTGCTCGCCTCGCTAGTTCAGAGACAAGGCAAGGTTTGGGTGGTCAGTTCCAACTCATGGGATGAGTGGAATATTAGAAACAATAAGAAACAGCCAGTGCCATTGAATCAGTTCTGATGTGACCCCATATAGAGCTTCCCAAACTGTATGTGTTTTTACAGGAGCAAGGGAGCCCCACCTTTCTCTCTCGGAGCAGCTGGTAGGTTTGAACCGCCGCCCTTGCAGTTAGCAGTCCAGTGCTTATCCCACACTGTCACACCAAGACAAGTCTTTGCCAAAGTGTAAATTTTGTATTTCTTATCATCTGGATAAACTCCAAGCCAGCCATTGACTAAGCTTTGCTTTCACTTAAATGCCCTTTTTAGCGTGATAAATCAGTGGGCTAGTTTAGGCTGCCTGTAACCTACTCACAAAGCAGAGGGCCTGAGGAGGCACGGCCCAAGAGAGCAACCCAGGCCACAAAGGGCAGAAACGAGGTCACTTGGCTTCTGTGAGGCAGCATGGCCTTTAGATTTGCACTTTAGATCCATACTACTTTCCTTCCAGCTGGAAACAAACACACCAGGAGTACTTCAGGGGTTAGAGAAACTGCACTCCCAAGCGTGAAGCATGCCTTGAGCTCAAAAACCCCATTTTAGTCTCGTTTCACGGTGTCTACTTAATAGAGCATGGATGTCTGTAAAGAGCCCCAGTGGAGCAACAGTTAAGCATTCAGCCACTAACTAAAGGTCAGCAGTTCAAACCCACCTGTGGGGAGAAGACCTGGAGATCTGCTTCTATAAAGATGGCAGCCAGGAAAACCCTACGGACACAGGACATCAACAGACACGTCACCAAAGAAGGCATTCACGGAGCTAACATACACATGAAAAGGTGTTTGAGATCACTAGCCAAACGTACCATAAGGTGTCTTCTCACTCCTGCAATAATGGCACTGGCTGTAAAAATAGAGAACCAGAAACCCTGGCAAGGATGTGGGGAGACTGGAACTCCTATACACTGGTGGTGGGACCGCAGAGTGGTACACCCACAACGGAAAATGGTATGGTGCATCCTTGAGAAGTGAGAAATGAAAATACCATGCAATCCACTCAACCCATTCCTAGGCATCTACTCTAAAACACTGAGAGTCTGGGCATAGACAGATGTTCCCAACGGAGAAAGATGCAAACAGCCCAAGCAAGTGTCCATCAACAGAGGAACAGATAACTGCTGTGTGGGCATCTGGGAAACCTAACATGGACCTAGAGGACAATATTCTGAGTTACAACAGGACAAATATTGTATGAAACCTCAGTTCTAAAACATCCACAGTAGGTTTACGCTCTCTTACTATCAGGCAGGGAAGGGGAGGAAGGACAAAGTACTAATTAGGTAGTTGTTCCAACTCTTAGCAACCCTGTGTAGGATTTCCAAGGAGCAGCTGGTGAGTTTGAACCACCAACCGTTCGGTTCAAACCGACCTTGTGGTCAAGTGCTTATCCTCCAGTGCCACACCAGGACTCCGAAGAGTAAGAACGCAGCCCACCACTGCCACAAAGCACGCATTTGAGCTCCCCACAGCTGGGGAAATCGTAAGGGTCAGCACATCAGAGTGCAATGGGAAAACCACCTTCAAGCACATGGTATCTTCCCTGTGTGCTAGACGGCGGGCACGTGGTAATCCTGGTGAAGGGAAAAGCGGTACACCATACAGGGACGTCGGCACAACATGGCCAAGGCAAAGGGAGGCACTGAGAGGGGAGCAGGAATAAAGGACAACAGCCGTCAGTGTTAAAGGAGCTCTGGAAGCGTGGTGGTTACGAGTCGGGCTACCAACCTCAAGGTCAGCAGTTAAAAACTACCAGCCGCTCCGTGGGAGAAAGATGAGGCTTTCTGCTCCCGTAAAGATTTACAGCCTCGGAAACCCTATGCAGGGTTACTGTGAGTCAGAACCAGCCATGGCACACCACCACCACCATCACCAATGTTCTAACATTTACAGCCCTGAGCAGTAATCACCAACAATCCTAGGTAAATACATAGGTAAACGAACTTCTGGGATGGCACTGTAGAATCAACACTAGTCTGCAAACCATAAGGTCGGCAGTTCAAACCCACCAACTGCTTCACAATCTTGGAAACCCTACTGTGTCCTATAGGATCTCTGTGAGTCGGAATTGACACGAAGACACTGGGACTTTAGAAGGAAGACTAAGATGTTATGATCTATATACACAGGCCTTCAAAAAGTTCTTGAGAAAATTCCATTATCCTTTCCCATGAACTTTTTAAGGGCCCCTCACGTAGGTAATGCAGGAGAAAGATGAGGCTTTCTGCTCCTGCAAGAGATGTAAAGTCTCCAAAACCCTGTGCAAGGGTTTCTGAGTCGAAACGGACTCCATGGCACTTAACAACAACAACTGTATTTATGTAAAGTGTACTGTTGAATTTATTTAATATCAGTCTGTGTTGTGGTGCTTTAGGATAAACACTAGACTACAAGGTCAGTTTGAACTGTGAGGTCAACAGTTTGAACTCACCAATTGCTTCTCGGAAACTCTTTACAGGGTCTCTGTGAGTTGGAACCAACTCGCTGGCACTTAACAACAACAACAAATATTCAACATAGACTGGGTAGCAAAACATTTAGATTCCTTTACAGTTTCCTATTTTCACAGAGCTCTATTCAAATGGCCTAGTCCAAAAAACATTAAACATTAAAGTTCATTTTTAAGAATATGAACATAACTAGATTTTAATATAAATCACTTCATCTGAAGGGGTTAAATCCTTTGCTTTCACAAGAGCCTGTTTTGGCATCAGTATCCCTTGTGAACAGGGTGGGAAGGTATGTGTGGATGGGAATCATTTTTAACCTCACTCTGAATCACTGAGTCAGTTTGAACCCAAGGTGGTGGTTCAAATCCAGCAGCTGCTCCTCAGAACTCCTGTATAGGGTCACTGAGTTGAGACTGACTTAATAGCACTTAACAACAACTGTTCAGAAACAATGGAAAACTCGTTTGTGTTTGTCTGTGCACACATGCTTGGCTGTCCTGCCCACAGACACACTCAGGTGGGCTTTTCCTTACGAGGCAAGTTCAGGGAAATGACCCCAAATGTTTTCCTGGTGCATGCATGTGTGTCTTTTGTCCCGAGTTAACTCTGAAGGCACCTCTCCAATATAAATAGTCAAAGAACGTTCTAAAAATACCCACTTAAGGAATTAGGTGTGTGCTGGAAACACAGTGCTCCAAAGAGCCAGTTTCAACAGCTGTAGCGCAAACCCCGAGAGGGAGGGAACGGAGGTTCTCAAGAGAGCTCCTTCTGACCGGCAGGTGATTTTCTCCTCATGCGGGGACTTGGACCTGCTGGAGCACCAGACGAGCCTGGTGTCTTCGGAGGACGGCGCCCGAGAGCAGGAGAACATGGAGGACACCAGCAGTGAGCAACAGTTCCGCGTCTTCCGAGACTTCGACTTCCTGGATGTGGAACTGGAAGATGGCGAGGTACCATTCGCTCACTGTAAAACCGTCTTCGTTGTCATCAGAAACCTGCTCCACGGTTTTCTTTGACTTAACAAATCAGTTTTCTTGTCTTTCTTTTTCGTGTTCTTACCTGCTAAGTGTTGTTTTTCTTATGGGGTCTTCAGTGGGAACATGGGTCAACTTTATTTGGGATCAGTTGATCCAAAGTGTGATGTTGGCAAAAGTACCACCCCTTTCCTATCTGAGCTCACATTCTGAGCCGCTCAGTTCTTTGTAAATGGCTGAAAACTTCATTGGAATGAGCACACCATTTCTCTTTGTGTGGTTCTGTGAGTGTCTGTGTGTGGACGTATATGTATGTATGTCTCTCTGTGTCTCCCAAAAAGCCTGTTGGTTGGTACTGGAGGCATTATCAATGGGAAGTGGTTCAAAGCTTGCCGTTGGAACAAATCAGAGCCTGCCCCCACCCATGTGCTGTGTATAAAAGATAAAGCTACCCAAGCTCTGCTTACCCTTCCAGACACCTGGAGTGTCTGAATTCAAGTCTCAACCAGTAAGCTCAGGCTTTGTTTTGAATCATGATCACTGACGGGAGGCTTTCATCTGAGTCATGTTTTGGAAAACTGGGATGAGGAGGAGGGTTATCCAGCTACCCCAAGCCCTACACTCATGTTCCCACCACTTCAGGAGCATATCAAGCCCCTAAGGAGCCCTTGTGGCAATGTGGGTTAGGCATTGGGCTGCTCACTGTAAGGTCAGCAGTTCAAACCCACCAGCCACTCCGCAGAAGAAAGATTATTCGCTGTCTGCTCCCATCTGGTGAACCCTCTATAGGGTCGCTGTGAGTCAGAATTAACTTGATGCATTGGTCTGAGCTTGGTTTTTAGAGTTGATGGAGCCCCTGGGGGTGGGTTGCAGGTGGTTAGCACACTTGTACTTGTTGCTAACTGAAGGGGGTGGAGGTTGGGTATCCATTTTTGAGAAATGAACCCAGGAGCCCAGTTCTACTCTGACGCACAAGCGGTTGCCATAGGAATCAACCCAGTGGCACCCGGTTTTACAGCGCTGATGTGAGGATGAAATAAGAGGGGCGCTGAGGGGGCTTCAGATCGTTTGGTGGGGAAAATGGAATGGGAAGGTAAAGGAATTTCTCCATCAACTTCCTGAGGCCCCCTCATACGTGAAACTTCTAGCGTATGTCAGGTAAATGCTTGGCATTCTAAATATTAGTTCCCTTCAGAAAGTTTATGGAGAAATGGAATTAAAAGATGATGGAGTGTCTGAAGCCCTCTTGTAGTCCTGTCATTGATAAATGATTTCAATACATTCTCAGCTGAGAAGTCAAGCATAGCAGGTTTTGAGTTCCAAACACAGTTGTCACAAAAGAATGACAAGTTACTTGTCACATCGCTGTCTTTTCTTAATGCTCCCTGGTGGCATGATGGTGAAGCAGTTCAAACCTACCCAGGGGCTCCACAGGAACAAGACCTGGCGATCTGCTCCTGTAAGGATTCCAACCTAGGGGACCTTACAGGGACAGTTTTGTCATACATCAGGTTGCTACGAGTCAGAATCAACTCAAGGGCCACCAACAACGACGACATGCCTTTTCCTAAAGCAGCCTCGGCATGGGAACTTATCGGTGGGAGTTTGCCCTTTAACCTTTCAGGATCTTTGAAAGGTGCTGTATCTCTGCTATTAATTGCACGTCTGTGGTGAATGCATCATGATCACAAGCACTTTTGGCTTTGGGAGCAAAATCAGGTGGTGACACTTTTTTCCCCCTTGGTGACCCACATTCATTTTCCCGTGACATTGAACTGTTTTCTCACAGATACTTGGGCATTCCAAAACACAAAGTGTTGAGACCGACAATGTCGCTGAAGTGGAAAGCTATTTCAGAAATTACCTTTGTGATATGTGACCCCCATCTACATCAGACACCACTAAGACGTTTTGATTTTTCTCTGATGTTTGATACTGGGTTTTTCCCCATTGGGGTGTGTGTGTTTTGACCTTATTTTTAGGTGTTTCTACTGAAGTATGTATTGATAGGTTTGTTAGTGGCAATCTGGTGAAAACTAAGGCATGTTAAATTAAAATGTGAGACTCTTTCATATAATCATTTTAAATAGACCTTTTATTTGTTTTTCTGTCCGCTACCTGCTACTCAGGAACTTCAGGTAAGATGGCGCTATTTTCGTTCAGATACGCTGGTAGATGTTTTGTGTCATGGCAGATTTATAACAATATCATTGCTTTTTTTCCCATCCCTTCTAGCACGTCTGTATGCCTATTTGTGTACACATTTATGTCTAGGTGTGCGTGAGATACAAGAGATTTCTCATGGCTGCTATAGTATGAAAATGATTTCTGAGGTCTAGATACAAGAATGTTTAATAAAAGCCTCTGTATGCCTCATATTGCTGGAGGAAAAGTGAATTTTAAAATCTGAGCCAGGGAAAGCTTTAGAATTTCTAAATAGGCACTGACACAAGTGGGTTAGTGTTTGTTGTTAAATCTTTTTGTGAAAAATTAAATCTGCAACCTGCATGTATAGATGGACCATATATATTAGGCACTTCCCATTGAATTCATTTACTTTTTCAGACATTAAGAACGAAGTGTGTATGGTGGTGATGGTGATGTAAACTGTCATCCAAGCCAGAGTCCTTTCTAGTTTAGATGACAAACAAACCATCTGTCATCTGGTTTGGATGACAATAAAATGGGATGAGGATAATAATAGTTACACCCGGTCAGCAGGCAGAGCCCGGGGTGATGTGGAGCCCCCCCCCCCAACCAGGTGTCTATGTCATATCACACATACCCCCCAGGAGTCACAATTCATGGAATACACTTTGCACGGTGCATGCACATTCCTTCAACAACACTGACTTGACTGAGTTCCAGTATATGCATGTAGCTATGAAAACAAATGTTGCCAAGAGTATGATTGCCAACGTTTCTAGAATCCTTTGTCATCTCAGGATAAATTCTGAGTTGTCTATTTTGGTTTGAGGGAGAAGTCTTGGTGACACACAGTTGAGCTCTCAGCTGCAAACTGAAACGTCAGCGGTGTGAACCCACCCAGAAGCTCCGTGGGAGAATGATCTGGAGATCTGCTCCCATGAAGATGAGAGCCGTGGAAACCCTCGGGGGCAGTTCTAGTCTGTCACATGGGGTCACTATGAGTGGGAATCGCCTTGACAGCATCCACTAACATTATATGCATCACAAAACATTTGCCATTTCAGTCTTATATACATGTATCATTTAGTGACATGAGCTCTGTCCCAGCTCAGCCCCTAAGCCCTAAAGGGTACCTGCTGGGATTGTTCTAAAGAAGTCCTGGTTATGGTTTGGGCTGCTAGCTGAAAGGTAGATAGTTTGGATCTACTAGTCACTCCGTAGGAGATAGATGAGGCAGTTGGCTTCCTTAAAGATGCTAGCCTAGGAAATCCTGTGGGGCAGTTCTCCTCCATCACACCAGGGGGCGCTGTGAATGGATGATCTATAAGAGTATATACAAGTATATAGTGACACAATAGATGACAGCCTAGGAAACCCTGTGGGGCAGTTCTCCTCCGTTACACCAGGGGGTGCTGTGAGTAGATGATTTATAAGAATATATGCGAGTATATAATGACACAATAGAGATGACAATCTAGGAAACCCTATGGACCAGTTCTACTCTGTCATATGGTGCTGTGAGTAGATGGTATATACGAGTATATAGTGACACAATAGATGACAATCTAGGAAACACTATGGGCAGTTCTACTCTGTTAAACCAGGGGGCGCTGTGAGGGAATGAGCTATAGGAGTATATACGAGTATATAGTGACACAATAGATGGCAGCCTAGGAAACCCTGTGGGGCAATTCTCCTCTGTTACACCAGGGGGCGCTGTGAGTGATTGCTCTATAAGAGTATATATGAGTATATAGTGACACAATAGATGACAGCCTAGGAAACCATGTGGGGCAGTTCTCCTCTGTTACACCAGGGGGCGTTGTGAGTGGATGATATATAAGAGTATATATGAGTATCAACCTGCAAACCTATACTTGTGTCCTAATGAATACGGGACTTTTCTGACTAATCTGATATGATGCATTCTTTGAGGAGTACAAAATGAAGCAAAATATGAGGGGTTTAAGAAAAAAATATGGAAAATTCTGTTACCTTACAAATCCAATTTTTCCACACTTTCTTAATCCCTCTCATACAGAGGTATTACTTTCCTTGACCTATAGAGTTAGGGAGCAGCATAAGAAGACAGGTTCTGCTATCCCAAAATCCTGGTTAGAAACTTATGAAAAATATCTAATATCTGGAAATATTAGGAGTCAGAACCATTAAGTCCAGATAGGAAAGTAGATTTAAGAAATAAACCAATCTGACTAGGGTTCAACAGATAGGCCTCTTATCAAACTGGATTTGGTAATTGTAACCCAAGGTGTTATAATTTAACCCTTATATGTATATCTGAAATTATCTTAAATGTTTGTTGATTTACCAAAAAAAAAAAAGAAGAGTATATATGAGTATATAGTGACACAATAGATGACAGCCTAGGAAACCCTGTGGGGCAGTTCTACTCCATTACACCAGGGGGCGCTGTGAGTGGATGATATATAAGAGTATATACGAGTATATAGTGACACAATAGATGGCAGCCTAGGAAACCCTGTGGGCAGTTCTACTCTGTTACACCAGGGGGCGCTGTGAGTGGATGATCTATAAGAGTATATATGAGTATATAGTGACACAATAGATGACAGCCTAGGAAACCTTATAGGGCAGTTCTCCTCTGTTACACCAGGGAGCGCTGTGAGTGGATAATCTATAAGATTATATATGAGTATATAGTGACACAATAGATGGCAGCCTAGGAAACCCTGTGGGGCAGTTCTCCTCTGTTACACCAGGGGGCGCTGTGAGTGGATGATGTATAAGAGTATATATGAGTATATAGTGACACAATAGATGACAGCCTAGGAAACCCTGTGGGCAGTTCTACTCTGTTACACCAGGGGGTGCTGTGAATGGATGATATATAGAGTATATATGAGTATATAGTGACACAATAGATGACAGCCTAGGAAACCTTATAGGGCAGTTCTCCTCTGTTATACCAGGGAGCGCTGTGAGTGGATAATCTATAAGATTATATATGAGTATATAGTGACACAATAGATGGCAGCCTAGGAAACCCTGTGGGCAGTTCTACTCTGTTACACCAGGGGGCGCTGTGAGTGGATGATCTATGAGAGTATATATGAGTATATAGTGACACAATAGATGACAGCCTAGGAAACCCTGTGGGGCAGCTCTACTCTGTCCTACAGGCCATCGTGAGTCAGTATGGTCTCCATGCAAATAGACATGGGTTTTTTTTGGTTTTGTTTGTTGTAAGTGCTGTCAAATCAGTTCTGGTTTATAGAGACCCTATATAGCATTTCCAAGAAGCAGCTGATGAGCTTGAACCGCCAACATTTAGGTCCAAAACCTACCTCTCAGTCCAGCACATTAACCCCTAGTGCGAAAAGAAAATAAAACCCACTCGTTTCCAGAAAAAAAAAAATTGTTAGATAAATGTATTGACTGTCTGCTGGTTCGTAGAGAAAGTCTACGATACAACTAAAATCTTGAACACCTTTACTGCCTTATCCCTGTGTTAATTCTCCAGAGCTCTCATCATAGGACAACCACCAGGGACTGGCTTTTTGTTGTTGTTGTTGTTGTGAAGTGCCATCCAGTCGGGTCCAACCCATAGCGACCCTGTGTAGGGTTTCCGAAGAGGGACTGGTGAGCTTGAACCGCTGACCTTATAGCTCTAAGCGACTTTCATTCATGGTGTGGTGCATTAACGCAAGCTCAGGACTCTAGAGAATGGCTTCAGCAGACATGTTAGGGGTTAGGTGTTCAGATTCGGGGTGTGGGCTCTAGCAAAGGTTTTCCTACTCTGTCAGCTCTAGAAGAGGTCCTTGTCTCCTCTGCCCCTGGCTCCTTGGAGCTCTCCAAGTATCTTAGCATCTCTATTATCCCATCTCTGTCTCTGCTCACTGGTTTAATTTCTTTTTAAATCTCAAACAAGGTTGACTCAAGATACACCCTACACCAGTCCTGCCACAAAGACCACCCACTCCCAATGGAATTAGAGCTACAGGCATAGAGGTTAGGAATCACAACACATAAAGGGAGGTTTCAGAAAGTTTGCGCAAGTCCATTCTCTTCCACAAACTTTTTGAAGCTCCCTCATATTTTGAAGGGTCAAAAACCCACCACAGGTCCAGTTCTCAATTCAATTAAAAAATGTACAAGTCAGCAACATTTGCTACTGAATGGTTACTTCATTGCCAAGAAAAGAGCCATTTTCCACTGAGGGGCAAATGTTTATAGGTGAGCCTAGAGCAAAAAGAAAACTTCTGTGTCGGCTTTTGCGTAGTGCATGACCAGACCACCTTGGCCAGCTGCTGGGGGAGTCTTTAACGCTGCATTTTATCTGTGCACACCCGCTCTGCTCGGGCAGGAACAGGCAGGCTGGAATGTTTACCTAATACTCTTGTTCGGAATTCCCAAAGGACCGGAATGTGTTACAGGCTTAGAGCTCTGACTTTGTTCTCCTTCCTCCGAAAAAGGGGAGGGAAACTGCTTTAACTTGTTTTCATGTCAATGATCTCTTTCTTACAGATTTTTTTTTGGGGGGGCGGGGTGGGAGGATAGGGGAGGGAACAAATCATTAATCGAGTTTAGCAAAATCAGCTTTGGAAAGAAGTGATATTACCCACCATGCCAAAGAAATGTGCATTTGTTTTCCCACATACGATTTCACATATATCTACCTGAACATAGATAATATGTTTTCACTATTATTTCAAGGATCCCTAGTGGTACAGTGGGTAAGCACTTGGCTATTAATCCCGAAAGGTCAGCAGTTCAAACCCATCAGCTACTCTGCAGGAGAAAGGCCTGGCAGTCAGCTCTTAAAAAGAGTGCAGCCTCAGAAACCCTACAGGCAGTCCACTGTACCCACTAGGGTCAGTGCTGTGAGTCAGACCGGAATCGGCTCAACGGCCCCCAACAAGAGCAGCAGCCACATTGTTTTCACATCCAGGTCCTGGTCCCTGAGTGGACGAGGCCTGGAAGGTCCCTAAGGAAGATGGGGCGTTGTAAGGTCGCTGTGTGGAGGTGGGGCCTCGGGAGGATGTGGGCCAGACGCTCCAGCATCCTGGTGTGTGTGTTTGCAGGGGGAGAGCATGGACAATTTCAACTGGGGCGTTCGCAGACGCTCGCTCGACAGCCTGGACCAGTGTGGCTTGCAGTTGCTGGAGGAGCACCAGCTGTCGGGAAGCAGCCCCAGCCTCAACCAACTGAACCACGAGGACTCGGACGAATCCTCTGAGGAGGAGGGCCAGCTCCTGGAACCCTCGGACCTCGTAAGTAGCGCCTCTCCTATGGGAGGACCTGGGGGACTTTCTCTTCTAACGAGAACACTGCTTCCTACCACAACTGCTTCCCTGGAATCTGAAATGCCAGGGGGTTCCCAGATTCCAACAGTCCAGTTTTCTGAGTTGCAAATGTAAATAAATACAAGGGGGATGGGGAGGACCGAGATACTTGTTATAAACCCTGAAAGCTGTCCATTCTGCTAAGGCCATGATTGTCCCCCCTGGCTTTTCGTTCTGTGGGCATCTTGTTTTATGTTTTTAATTTTCTAGACATCTAGAGTTTTGGGAAATGGGACTGACACTAGGATGTGGTTATTTGAAAAGATGGGTGTCCATGTTTCAAGAGTGGTGGACCAGATAACAGATTGCTAGCTGCTGTGTTTAAGATCCAGTAATGGTGAGGTCAAAGGGACCCCTGATGGTGCAATGGTTAAGCACTCAGATATTAACTAGAGGTCAGCAATTGGAACCCACCAAGTGATTCCACAGGAGAAAAGACCTGGCACTCGGCTGTCATAAAGATGACAGCCTAGAAAACCCTGTGGGGCAGTTTTCCTCCGTTACACCAGGGGGCGCTGTGAGTGGATGATCTATAAGAGTATATATGAGTATATAGTGACACAATAGATGACAGCCTAGGAAACCCTGTGGGGCAGTTCTCCTCTGTTACACCAGGGGGTGCTGTCAGTGGATGATCTATCAGAGTATATACGAGTATATAGTGACACAATAGATGACAGCCTGGGAAACCCTGTGGGGCAGTTCTACTCTGTCACATGGGGTTTCCATGAGTCAGAATTGTCTGATAGCACCCTCAAAAACAATGAAATACAAGGGGGCTTCTAAAAGTGTGGAAATGGAATCAAAAGCTATGGTCTTTTTTCCACCAACTTTTTGAAGCGCCCTCATTGCCAGCTAGAAAATTAATATGTACCGACCAACAACGAACAAACTGTAGCTGGCATTCTTGGGTAAATGCGAGCTCATAAAGGGTTGGAACTACATGTTCGACTTTATCCCCTTGGCTCTTTCAACAGATCACAACCCTGCCCCCTTCTGAGGACACGAATCACATGGAATCGCTCACCATGACCTGCGAGCCCACCGCTGCAGAGCCCCACTCTTTCACATCAAGGATGGTGGGCTTGGACTGCTCCCTGCCCAATGGGAATCCCCTGCAGGTGTCGGAGAGTAATAAGGTACAGAAAGTCTTGGTAGTTCTAGCTGTTTCCTTCAAATGATACTAGGAATTCCTGAGAATGCTTAAGCAGGACATCGAGAGACTGCCTTTTTCTCCTTCCTTTGTGGAAGCTTCTCCCTCCAAGTCCGTGTTGTGAAGTTCTTTCCCCCTAGTAGCTTGCGCAGGCTTGTCTTTCTGGGTTGAAGGAGACCTCTCCATTCGATGGAACACTGCACTTCATGTGCAGCAGGGCCTTCTGCCGATTGGACAGGAAAACAAACCGCGTGTCTGAGTTTGCAGTGACTGGGACGTGGCCTTTCTTGGTCTTTGCTTTGATGAAACCGTTTGCTAAGTGAGCTGTGGGCGTGTGCAAGAATGTGGGGACATTTTTTCCTACGTAGGAACCAGTTATACAATTTGTCCATTGATGCAACTCTTGCCTCTGGGCACATACTGTAGGAATTTTCAGCGTCAATCACAGCGTTATGCTGGATTTACACACAGATCTCCTAAATCGGACTTTCTGAGAGGAAAAGTACCCAATGGGTATAGTTTCCTTAGTTTAGTGGATTGGCTTAATAAATAACAGATTGACTCCAAAAAAGCGAGACTATATCCCATGAGTGCTCTACTGCTTTTAAAAAATCACCCATATGAGACCCTATGTTCAACAGTGACTTTTAAACAAAGATGAGTAAGTAAGGGAACAGGGAAGCTAGAATCAAGGAGACAGAACAACCAGAGCAGAAACATTGACAGTGTTTGTGACTTGTCAACAATCTGCATAGAAACTCTTGAATGGAACCTGAACTGCTGTGCAGACATCACCAAAAATACAGGTTTTGTTGCTGTTTTAAACCTAGGAGTATGTTTTTAAATGCCATCAAGTTACTTCCAACTCACAGCAACCCTGTTTAAGGAACAGCATATATCTCATTTAAATTTGATTTTATCAAAATGTCCAGGAATTATCCTGCCTATAAAACTACCCACTCCCACACGGACTCCCACACCGTTATACACTGGTGCAGAATTTTATTTTCTTACATTAGAACTACAAAGTGACCTGTTGTTGTTGTTGTTGTTGTTGTTGTGTACCGTGGAGTCGGTTCCAACTCATAGTGGGTTGTAAATCTTTACAGGAGCAGAAAGCCTCATCTTTCTTCTGCGGAACAGCTGGTAGTTTTGAACTGCTGACCTTACGGTTTGCAGCGTGATTCGTAACAACTACGCTACCAGAGCTGTTGTTAGCAGAGGCTGAAGCTTTCTTTATCCATCTTGATTCTGCTTGTTCTTATATAAGTTTAAAACAGAATATTAAAAATTAGAAATAAATGTATCTAAAACCATTTTCCCTCTGATACTTCAAATGGAAAAAAAAAATCATACTAGGTATTCCTTATTCTCTTACAAGGCACTTAAAAACTGATCTGTGCCCTTGGGAAATCCATATAATTGAAAACAAAGACAACCAAACAAATTTCAATGATGTAAAAATGTTGAAGCTTAAGTAAAGCTCATTTCTAAGACTGTCCCGTTGCCACAACACTGTGATCAAGATTCTTAAAGTTATCTGAGTTCTCTATTTTAGCCAAAAACAAAAGTGTCTGTATGTGTGTAAAACTTTCTCCAAAACATTGTCTTTTAGAGAACTTGTCTCTGGTTTAAATGCCAGAATCCTAAGATGAAGAAATTCCATTTCATGGAAAGGACATTACAAAATATATGTGAAGTTGTTGGCATTCACAACTTCTTAATCTTGGTACTACATACATTATTTTCTCCATTTTTTATCTCAAATGCCCAACTGTGTTCATTTCTCCTAGAAAGAACTACTCAAGACGTAATATTTGTGTGGACTCAGATGTAAATGATTTAATTCTACCAATTGAGTCTCGCTTCCAAAAAGCTTTCTGTTTTCTCTTATGAGCTGGGTTTCTGTAATGTTTTTATTTCACAGTGGGGCTTCAAAAAGGTGAAGGAAATATCCCATTCTCTTTCGTTTCCATTTTTCCACGAATTTCTCGAAGCCCCCATAAAGGTCTGTAAAGTTAGGAGGAGAAACTAAAAAAGGCAAGGTTTATAAGAACTCAGCTTTCCCCTCAGATCACATTTGTGTAACTAGGGGACGCAGGGCAAATCTTGCTGGTCCAGTGGCATCTTAGAAACCAGGAAGAAGCACTTAGGGGCAGGGAGCAGTTTATATCCTTATGAAGAACATGCAGAGAAACCTCTGGAGCTCAGTATTTAAAAGCAGTTCATTCAAATACTGTTTCCCTACCATTTCTGTAACCAGTGGCCAGATGTGAACTGGAGAAGATGGTGATATTCACACACGTTTTCTCATTTGCCCTGGTTTTGTGTTTGTTTTAAGAAAAGCAAGTGCAAGTGCAGGCTCGGATTTGCTTTCTCTCCCCATGGGATCTGAACTGCCATGCCTTCCTTCCTCTCACAGAGAACAATCGGTTCTGTAGCTGATTTCCCCAGCGGCCCAGTTCAAGCCCAGCCTCTTTTTCCATATCTCATACTTTGTCTCTTTCCTGCCCTGGCGGATCCCAGGCTGCCTGCTCTAGAGCCTTTTTCCCCTGCTGCTCCAGGAGTAATGTCTGGCACGGTGACAGCAGCTGCTCAGAGCTGGTAGCTTCAAGGGGGTCTCCCGAGGTTAAAGCAGGTTCTAGCAGATCTCAGAGAAACTGCAGGTTTGGTTACAGAGGGTTACAATAAAGCCAATGTCGCAGTGTGGCCTATCGCTCGGAACATTCTGGTTTCCCGGTGCATATCCAAGTTCTGCTGATACTGTGTTGTTGTCTGTGGAAGAGGGCGAAGATGAGGCTGTCTGTCCCCATGAGGAGTGCCAGTCTCAGAAACCCTAGGAAGGAGTTCCACTCTGTCCAGAGGGGTACCTAGGAGTTGAAATCCACCCAACATTTGTGGGGTTTTGTAGTAGTGTTCATTTCTGTTCCTCCAGGTGGAAGCCGTGCGGGAAGAGGACTCCGCTGCGCAGGAAGATGACCTTCCTAGTTCTGTGAACGAGCTCCCAGCTACCTTCGAATGCAGCGGTAGCCTGAGCCTGGACACAACGGAAACAGAAGAGAAGGACGACCGGGCGCTGGATTCGTTTACTCTTGCCAGGTACCGGAAGTCTGGGTGAATATCGCTCTTCCCGGATGCTTGCTCCACTGAGACTGCCTGACCAGAGGTGTCCAGATTGGCATGGTTCATCCTGGTGTACATCAGGTTGCTGTGAGTCTGTACCAAACTACAACAAATAGGCAGATAACTTGGTGGTCACTCAGCTGGGTTGGAATCATCCCAGAACAGGATGTCGAACCGAAAACAGTAAACTCCTGAACATGGAGCTCAGGAAGCCGTGTTGTTAGGGTTGCTGTTCATTGTCCTTGATTTGGCTCCATCTCCTGGTGATGTTGTTGTTGTTGTTGTTGTTAGGTGCCATCGAGTTGGTACCGACCCATAGCGACCTTATGCACAGCAGAACGAAACACTGCCCGATCCTGGGCCAACGTCACCACTGTTGCCATGCTTGAGTCCATCAATGCTGCCACTTGGTCAATCCATCTCGTACGTGGCCCTGTACCTCATGCGTCATGGTGGGGTGTTCAAGCCCATTGTAGTGACCACTATTGTCAGTCCACCTTATGGACGGGTCCCTCATGTACTGACCACCGTGTCAGTCCATGGCATGAGGAGTGTCCCTCACATTTGCCGACCCACTACTTCACTAAACACAATGTCCATTTCTAGCAAATGGTCTTTCTGACAATATGTCCAAACCCAGCAACAAAGGAATCTGGGAGCGTGGCCCAGGTCTTACAAGCTTTGAAGATCAGCAAAATTGTGTCAGCCTTGGAAACAAGGACCTCCTGAGTAGAAGACTCTTAATAAACTAAATTCCAACACTTTGGTAAGACAGTGGGTTTCAGCTTAATGGCTGATGGTTCCAGGACTAGTGTGATACAGTCAGAATATGAACAGAAAAGGACCGTAAAGATGAACACACAAAGAACACCACAAACCCTTACCATCAAGTCCACTCCAATTCATAGTGATCCTGTAGGACAGAGGAGAACTGCCCACAGGGTTTCCCAGGCTGTCATCTATTGTGTCATTATATACTCATATATACTCTTATATATCATCCACTCACAGCGCCTCCTGGTGTAACAGAGGAGAACTGTCCCACAGGGTTTCCTAGGCTGTCATCTATTATGTCACTATATACTCATATATACTCTTATAGATCATCTACTCACAGCGCCCCCTGGTGTAATGGAGGAGAACTGCCCCACAGGGTTTCCTA